TTTAAAAAAAAAAAAAAAAGAGGGTCAGTAGAGGGATCTAGACACCCAAGCCAAGGAGCAGCCACTCAGAGACCCCTTTTCTGCCTCATCTCTGAGCTAGCCTGTCAGTCCAGAGCTCCATCACTAGGTCGGCCTTTCGGGGCAGGAAGCAGTCACATCATGGCAGATAAAATATAGGATGCCCAGTTAAATTTGAGTGTCCAATAAACACAAACGCAAATTTTAAAGCATAAGCACAAATCAGGGAATGTTCAGGATAAACTTATACTAAAAATATATATTCAGTTTATCTGAAGTTCAAATTTACTTGGGCACCCTGTATTTTTATTTGCTAAATCTGGCAGCCCTACTGTGTGTGTGTGTGCGTTTGCGCGTGCAGGCACACCCCTCTGCTTTGTCCCCAGAGAGGAATGCCAGGGCTCACTGTTCTCCATGAAGATGTCCCGGGTGGGGTAGGCATATCCGATGGCCTCAGCTCTCCGGTTCAGGTCCATCATGTTGGCACAAAAGAGGTTCATGTAGTGCTGGCCCTGGCAGAACAGTCCCCCTGTGCATCCTTTCTGAGGGGAACAAACAGCCAGAAGGATGGGTGACAGACCTGCACTCTGCTATAGGGGAAGACTTCTAGTTCTGAGATGGTCTGGTAGGTGGCTGCCTTTGGGGCAGGTCTTTCCCCTTTTCCCAGAATTTCTTCCCCATTTACATCCCTGGACCGCTTGGGACTCTATCCCGGTGGGGGGCGGGGGGGATCAGAAAGAGCTGGGTTTGAGTCCCGGCTCATCCACTCAGGGGCTGTGTGACCTTAGCTTGCTAAGTTAACCTTTCTGAGCCTCAAGGGTCTTAGCCACAGGGAAAGGGCGATGTGTCTGGGATCTGCACCAGAGGTGCTCACTTGGACGGGTGGTACCATAGTTAGGAAGTGCCCAACACAGGCCTGACACTGGAGCGTTATAGCCATTAGCTGCTGTCACATTCAGATTCCAGGCTAACCCAGCTGGCTAGCTTCAGTGCTGCTCAAAGTGTGGGCCATGGACCGGTCTCAGGGACAGAACAGGAGATGAGAAGGGGCTTTGGCAATTTCTGTAACAATGTGTCAGAGTAGCTTTCTACCTGTTGAATCTAATAATATTCCTCGTAATTTGATTTTTATTGTATTTACAGAAATACTGGATAGTGACAGCTTGCAAATAAATAATAAAAAATTTTTTCTAAAAACCTACCTAAAACATTAAGTACCTTCTCAGCCAAGAATTTCTGCACATGGAATAACCTCTTTCAATGGAGATAATGAGCCTTAGTTTTCTATATGGGGAAATACATATGTTTAAAAATTATCATTATTTAGTGAAGTTTGAGCTCTTGGGCTTGGAAGAGCATTGGGTGCTGCAGAGGTGGGGGTGGGGCTGGTTTGTCTTGGTTTGGTTTTCTAGAAGCTGCTATGGACCAGATGTTCTAAATCCTTTTCCATTTGTTACTGTTTACTGAGTTCTTTCTGCTGCTTCTCTTTTACTCTTTCTCTTTGTTTTCCTGATGCCTACGACCCAGTTTAGCATGCAATTCGATCTGTCCAATGAGAATCCCAAATCCTGCCCCCCCCCGCCCCCCGCAGTTTGGTTCAATGTTATATCGGACAGATGGCAGGCTACTCTTACTTCTCCCTCCTGATGTCCAAAGCACAAGTCCAAAACCCTGCTTATTTTCTTGGTGTGTAGCACACAAACCACACTGCCACAAGCCCCTTTTTATCTTTCTCTCTCCTCTATGTGCGTGGCTGGCCCCCGCCGGGCACTTACCATTCTTGCCAAGAGAAAGAAGAGCAGCTGGTGGGACAGGCAGTAGCCTGAGCAGCCGGGCTTGGTCATGAGGGTCCTGCAGAAGTCTGAGAGCCTGCAGGGCTGGCTGCTGTCTGTCCTGGGGAAGAAGTGGTTCAGGCCCCAGAGAAGGATGCCCTAAAGGAAGCCTGGGAACATGGAGTCTTCCCTGGTCCCTGTTCCCCCACTAGTTATTAGAACCCCAGTAGGCTCCAGGCACCCAGCTGTGCACAAGGGGTTGCTGGATAGCACACAGGGGTACTGTGTCTTGATTTGCTAAATCAGCACCCGAGCACAGGGGAGGCGACCCTGGAGTTATCCTGGGTTGGTTGAGCTCCAGGGGGCTGTGACTTGCTATTGCTCCGTGGGACTCCCAAGTACGGTCTTTCCCGTCACTGCCCTATACAGCAGTTCTCTGAACCTAGGGCTGATTCAGGGCTGGCTCCAAGCCTATTGCACAGCAGGATGAAATGGTGAGCTTAACTAGGCTGTACTCCTGCTTGCAGAGACCTACAGCCCAGGGAGGGAGGCAAAACCCTAGACAAATGTAAATTGTATCTATGGCTACCAGTGGTGCTAGGAGAACCCGCCTACTCGGAGAGGTCAGCTTTGTGCAGTGGGGTCAGGGAAGGTTCTGGAGGAAGGATGCTGGAGGTGGCCCTGAAGTGTAAGCAGGGTTACTTAGGCAGGGGGGTGGGGTGGGGCAGGGTGGGAGGAGGCCCACAAATGCCAGCCGGGCACAGTAAAGGTTTAGAAGTGGGACAGAGTAGGTCCTTTTGGGAGTCTGACAAGAGCCCCAGGGGCTGGTTTAGAGGGGCCTGGAGACCTGGAAGGGCAGCAGGAGCTGGGGCTTTGTTCTGAGAACAACAGGAAGCTTCACACTGGGGGCGGGATGTTCAGATATGTTTTTTGAAAGGATCCCTTTGGTGTGAGAGACCAATGGGGTGTGTGGGGGGGAAGTGCAGGGAGTGGGGGTGCAGCTTAGGTGCAATGAGGGTGGGAAAGGTTGGTGTCTGGGTGGCTAGTGGGGTGGTGGCTATGCCTGGTTTTGCACAGGGACTTGGAAAGCAAGTGGGACAGGAGGACAAGCGGGGAGCAAGTGGTTTTGGGCTTTTGGGAAGCGGGGCAAGTGCAGGGGGCCCACCCTGTTCCCAGCAGCTGCACCAGACACGAATCACTGCGTTCCTCTGAGAAGGAGTCCCATGATTCAAACGTGGGGTAGACCATGGAAGCATCTGTGCTGGTCCAGGCATGTGGAAGCTTCCAAAACCCAGGCTGGATGATTGGCTGGAACTCTGGGAGAGAGGTGGGGTGAGGGGAAAACACCCAGGAGCAGTGGGCCATGCCTTGCCTAACTGTACCCAGGCTCTTGCAGCCCAAGCCCAGGAATTGGGTGTCCCTGCCCAGGTAGCCCTGACCACACACAAGCCTGCTCAGGACTCTGAGCCTTGCCTGCTGGTTGCACATTATGTTTGAAACACTCAGGAAGCTCCTCTTCTAAAACAATTTTTTTTTTAATCAGTAGGAATTGCGGTACCTGGGTGGCTCAGTCGGTTAAGCTTCTGCCTTCGGCTCAGGTCATGATCCCAAGGTCCTGGGATCGAGCCCGGAGTCTGGCTCCCTGCTAGGCAGGGAGTCTGCTTCTCCCTCTCCCTCTGCTCCTCCCCACAGCTCATGCTCTCTCTCTCTCAAATAAATAAATAAAATCTTAAAACAAAAACAAAAACAGATGCCAAGGGACTTCTTTTAGGGTGACACAGGTTGGGATGGTCTTAAGGGCCAGGCCTGGGAGAGAATGGGGCACGTGGAGATCAGAGCTACATAGAGAGGGCTGGCGTGTGGTCATGTGCAGCCTGGCCATTGCTGAGAAGGAAGGGTGTGCTGGCTAATCATCTCCCCATTCACTCACACACACCTGACTGGAAGCTGGGATTCTAGGAGGCTGGACAAGCATGAGGGGCTGGTTTTATAAGTTGCTCGCTTCTATCACCCCCAGGAATGATTCACGCCAGGCTTATAGGGTGGATCAGAGAGATACTAGCAGGATACTATATTTAGTGCACAAAGGGCTGAATTACTTTTGAGATATCCCACTCTCTGGACAGACCAGACCCTCCCCTCTGGTCTAGGATGAAGGCTCCCAAGCCTGGGGTGAGCTGAATAAGGGGAGGCACATTCCCTACTCCCAGCCACCCCCCACTCTGCCCCACCATTCACCGGGAGGAGTGCCCCCAGATGCTGTGTTCCTGAAGTAATGGGACTCTACCCCCTGCTATTACCTCTTAGGTACTTGGGGTCACTCAGCTTGAGGTAGAAGATGGATCTGTGAAGGAGAGGCACTAGCTTTTCCACCAGCTTCCCCACACGCAGGCTCGGCCACTGCAGCTGGGGGTCCCAGGCCCACTTTTCCTGAACACCTTTTAGCTGTACTGGAAAAGAAAAGACTTCATTCATTCCATCAATTGACAAATCATTTGGGCAGGAAAGATTATCCTAACTTATAATGCTTAGTGAGCGTCTCTGCCTCCTCCAGTTCCTGAGAGGAAAGAATTGGCTGAACTTATTGGAAATTAGGCCTTGTGGGGCTCAGCTGGGTGATGGGGGTGGGGCTAGTATGCTGGAAGTTGGCAGCTAAGAGTTTGATTTCTGGAGGTGGGCCTGAGTTCAGATCGTGACTCTAATATTTTCTTGTTGGGTGACCAGAGAAAGATATTTAATTTCTTTCCATTTTACTTGCTTCATCTATAAAATGGGGGTAATGATGATCCTTACTTCTTAGAGTGGGGGGTTGTAAGGATTAAATGAACTAATGCATAGAGAGGGCTTAGCATTGTCCACAGTGCAAAGTAAGCACTTAATAAAGTTTAGCTATAAGTATTAATTAGGGAGATCTAAGGTTTGCTGTACAGGAATGAGGAAGGGATTCAGATGCTGGGTGAAGAGCTGCTGTGTACAGTTGAGCAGGTTGTATACTGCACAAGGGCAGCGTATATTGCTATCATGGGTTTGTATATGTATTAAGACAATTTTCCAGCAGATGGCAGGCAAGTGACTTGAGGAAGGAGACATCTTTTTCTAATTTTCACAGAGGTGCCTTTTGGAGTAGCAGTGGTTCTGCAGGGGTGGGAGAAAATGGTGATGGTGGGGAGATAAGAGGTGGTCGAGAGAGGGGATGTGAGGGAAAGCCTCAGCACAGGGCCAAGAGGGTGAGAGATGGCCTGAGTTCAGGTAGAGAACTTTGATGGGGAGGGCAGATGAGGTTTAAGAGGGTGCTAAGCAAGTCTTGTGGGGTGATGGGCTCCGTAACACTCTTCTCCAGTCTTGGTTCTCTCCCCGCACTTGAACCTAGGCCACCTGCTTCCGAAGACTTGTTCCAGACTGCCTGGCTCAGGTGGAGGGTATTGTGCTGGCACCCAGAAGGGGTAGCCAAGTCAGCAGTGAGGTTCACCCAATCTGGCCTCATGGTGGTATATTTGTCCCTGCCTGTGCGGCTGCTGCTGCCACCTTCTGGATCACCCTCCTGGCTGGCAGGGGCAGCTGGAGGGACCCTTTTCTCTCTTAGGGTCAACGTCCACTTGCCTAGCCCCAAGCAGAAAGGATTTGGGAGATCAACAAGTATCTTGTTGCTACTGGACCCCCCAGAACGTGAAGCTCTTCTCTCTGTCCCGGGAGGCTGAGAATGAAGATAGGACCCTCATGTGAGTGCTGTGGCAGCCAGCTGGTTTTCACACCCTTTCAAGCCCCTCCTGCACAGTATGGGGCTGACCCTCGAAACCAATAACAAATTGGGGAAATGATGGTGTGTGACCTCCAAAGCTTGGTTGTAAAAGACGTTGAGCCTTCTACCTTGCTCTCTCTGAGGTCACTTGCTCTGGGGGAAGCCGGAGGCCATGTTGTGAGGGCACACAAGTAGCCGTACGGCGAGGTCACATGGTGAGTAGCTGAGGCCTCCAGGAACCTGCCAGCACTAACTTGCCAGGCCTGGGAGTGAACGGGGTGGTTCCTCCGGCCCCAGTCAAGCCTTCAGATGATCACACCCCTGGCCAACATCTTGACTCCAACCCCATGTGAGACCCTGAGCCAGAACCACCTAGACCAACTGTTCCCAGATTCCTGACCAACAGAAATGGTGAGATGGTAACTATTGTGTTGTTTTATGCAGCTAAATTCAGGGAGAATTTGTTATGCATCAGTAGGTTATTGCAAAGGGATAGGGCAGAGCTGTGGAGAGGAGAGGAGGGGGTGGCCCTGGTCTAAGGCTGTTGTGTGGTGTCGGCTTGGGCCGTCGCTTCCCTCCTTCCCAGCCACCTTGACCCTGTAGTGATTCAGACAATGGGCGCTGAGTCAGACAAAGCAGGGTTCTAAGCCCACTGCCTACACTTGCTTGCTGTGTGACCTTGGACATTCTCTAAAGCCTGTCCCCTCCTTGGTAAAAAGGGGACAACCATAATGAACTTACTTCAAGGATTGTGGGGAGAAGTCAGTGAAATATCCCACACGAGCGTTTACATTGTGCCAGTGCGTAGTGGGTACTTAGTGAACCTTATCTTTTATTATCTCATTGACCCCACAAAGCACATGGCCAAGGGAACCACCTGCCCTTCCCTTCTCTCTCCATAAGGAAACAACAGGCCCATGGGATGGCTATTGACAAAAGCCTGTTGCCTTGTTCCAGGAATGTTTATTCAACTGCTGCTTGGATGGAGCCCAGTGCTGTGCCTGGCATCTAGGGTGGTCAGAAAAGTCAATACAATGCCCACCCTCCCATCAAGGGCTGTTAGAGCAGGTGGATTTGAGTACTAGACCCCCTGCCTATCAGCTGTGAGGCGTAGGGAGGTTACTGAACCTCTCTGTGCCTCAGAGTCCCCACCTGCAGAGAGAGCAAAACAGAGCACTTCCCTCTCTAGGCTGTTTGGCGATTACATGCAGTCAGTACCCAGGTAACATCCAAAGGCACATTTGCCAGGCCACATGCCAGGCTTTGTGGGCCCCTTTAAGAAAAAAATAGATTAAAGTCTTACAGTCTTACGACTGTATTAGGATAAAGATGGATATGTTGATATTATATATTAGAATATTCTCCTTGATTTTAAAAGTTCATTTTTATTCCTTCTGACTTTAACAGCAATCAAAACAGGGCGCCTGGGTGGGTCAGTTGGTTAAGTGTCTGCCTTCGGCTCAGGTCATGATCTCAGGGTCCTGGGATTGAGCCCCGCATCAGGCTCCCTGCTGAGTGGGGAATCTGCTTCTCCCTCTCCCTCTGCCCCTCTCCCCTGCTCATGCTCTCTCTCTCTCTCACACACACACGCTCTCTCTCAAATAAAAAAAAAACAAAAAAGAAAAATCAAAACATTTTCATGGGCCTCTGTAAATATCCTGTGCCTAATGGGGAAGCCAGGCCTGTGGTTTATTACTATTATTCATTTCTAGAGGCATTATAGGACAGGGCTGGGATTAAATGGAGACCCTGGTCCTAGCCTGAGAGATCTTGGATCTTGGGGGTCTCCAGGATGCCACCTGGAGGCTCAGGGATGTGGGGAGGACACCGGGAGGCCAGGCACAGAAGCAGACCTGTCCCAGAGCCCCTCCTCCTGCTGGGACCTGGAGTCCAGGTGGGTGGGGGTGGCAAGCTGCACTGGCCACCCAGAGGGGGTGATGTGAAAGGGGGGCCAGCCAGAGCCCCAGGCTGATACCAAGTCAGCTCTTTGTCACTTAGGTCAAGGTGGCCTTCAGAGAGGAGCTTCCTGCAACCTGAAGTGTGTGTTGGGTGGTTCCCTGTTTGCCTTGGCCTATTGCCAGGTCTTCTAGAGGATCTTATATCCCTGAAAGCTGAACAAACACTTGGCTCTTTTCTTGGAGCCTTCAGGTGGCTTTGGCTGGAAGTGGGGGAATGGAGTTGGAGCCTGATCTTGAGGGTTCCTGGTTTTGTCCACAGCCGCCCTCCCATAAATGCCCCTTGAAAGGGCACACTCCCTCTGCCCATCTTGTTCATGACATATCAGGATTAGCACTGTCAAACGAATCATTTCCTCCCAGGAAAATAATAATTTCCAAATCTTTTCCCATGTGGTTTCTGAATCCTTTTTGCTTCTAAAATAATTGAGTATAGCAGGGCCCCAAAACACCCAAAAGGAGCAAGCCTTCCAGCAGAGCAAGGAGGTGACTGGCTGAGAACTGGTTTTCCGGTGGCCAGTCCAGGAGAACGGGAGTGCACCCACCTTCCAGCACCCGGAACCCCACCACGCCGTCTAGGTTGATTTCAGGCAGCCTCTTCTTCAGGAAGGAGGTGGCTCTCTCCAGCGCTGAGAGGATAAGGCCCACGATGGCGGCCTTGCCCTCTGGGGTGTCCGGTGGTGCCAGTGAGGAGGGCTGCAGAGGTGGTGGTGTTGCCATCAGCAAGAGCAGGAGCGTGAGCCCTGGGCTGGACATGGCTGGCCCGCTGCCTGAGGCTGGTCGAGTGGTTCAGCCTCGGGCAGCTCACCCCCACATACCCTCCTCCTGTCCCTTCCTCCTTGTCCCTCCCCTGCAGAGCTGGAGACAATTGGCGGGCGGGGCTGACCTAGCAGCTTGGGGTGGCCTGGGCAGAGGGCCATGGGAAGGGCCGCTGGAGGGGTCTGCCTGCGGGGGCTGGGCGGGGGGCGGTGGGCAGCAGTCAGGCCAGCCCTGGAGTGGAGCCAGCTGGCTGCAAGGTCCCACCCTTTCTTCCTCATTCCTGATTCTCCAGGCCCATGGGCTACATCTTGGATCTACCAATTGCAGTTATACTCCAGAAATCTAAAGCACGGAAACTTAAAGGTCTTTGCTTTTTGTTTTTTTTTGTTTAAATACGTTTGGGATAAGCTTATTTGAAGGCACATCTACCAGAACTGACAGAAGATTCCTTAGGGCATCTCCTGCCCAGTAGAAACAGAATATGAGCTGCAAACGCAAGCCACGTGGGCACTTAAATATTTTCTAGTAGCCCCAGCTTGGAGCCCAACAGGGGGCCCAAACTCACAACCCTAAGGTCAAGACCTGAGCTGAAATCAAGAGTCAGACACTTCACTGACTGAGCCACCCAGTGCCCCAGGTGAAATGAATTTTAATGATCTATTTTATTTGAACCAGTGGATCCAAAACATCATTGCAACTTGTAATCAATATCAAATGAGTAACTTTGTAACATTTTTTTATTTTATATATTTTTAAGATTTTTTATTTATTTGAGAGAGAGAGAGAGAGCATAGGAAGGGCGAGGGTCAGAGGGAGAAGCAGACTCCCCGCCAAGCAGGGAGCCCCATGTGGGACTCGATCCCGGGACTCCAGGATCATGACCCGAGCTGAAGGCAGTCGCTTAACCGACTGAGCCACCCAGGCGCCCCTGTAACATTTTTTTTTAATATCAGTTTTCTCAAATGAAGTCTTTGAAATCTGGCATTTTACACTTGAGGCACATTTCAACACAGGCTAGCCTCATTTCAAGAGCCCGACAATCACATGCGGCTGCTGTATTGGATAGTGAAGACTTAGAGCCCTTCTTTGGCTCATTCATTGTGAAAGCATATCTTTTTCTCTGCAGAAATTTTTTTTTTAAACATTTATGCATTTATTTTAGAGAGAGAGCTCAAGCGGCGGGGGGGCAGAGGGAGAGGGAGAGGAGGAGGAGAGAGAGAGAGAGAGGGAAGCAGACTCCCCACTGAGTGGGGAGCCCCACATGGGGCTCGATCCCATGACCCCGAGATCACGACCTGAGCCAAAACCAAGAGTTGGATGTTCCACCAACTGAGCCACCCAGGTGCACCCCATGCAGAAATTTTAATGTTGGTTTACTGGGTGCTGTCCTGAACCTTGCTGGATGGTTACATGTACATGCACCACATTGCCTTTCTAAAATCTAAAGTTCTGAATGCAGAAACATATCTGGCCCCAAGGGCTTCAGTTAACAGATTACAGATCTGTAAAAAAAATTATAAAAATACCGCCACTAAAATATGCATCTTGACTCCTTGTGGGCACGCTGTAGGTCAACCATTTAATTTCATTCTTGTCCCTCCCTCCCCCACCCCCATCAGCCTTTTTATACATTTTTTTCCTGAACATTTAAAAATGACAGCTTTATTGAGATATAATTCACATACCATAAAATTCACCCTTTTAAAGTGTACAATTCGGCAATGTCTTTTATTTATTTTTATTTTTTTATTTTTTTAAAGATTTTATTTATTTATTTGACAGAGAGAGACACAGCGAGAGAGGGAACATAAGCAGGGGAGGTGGGAGAGGGAGAAGCAGGCTTCCCGCCGAGCAGGGAGCCCGATGCGGGGCTCGATCCCAGGACCCTGGGATCATGACCTGAGCCGAAGGCAGACGCTTAACGACTGAGCCACCCAGGCGCCCCATCGGCAATGTCTTTTAAAGTAGATTCACGAGGTTGCTCAACCACCACCACAGTCTGATTCTGAAACATTTTCGTTCTCCCCAAAAGAAACCCATCCCCATTAGCAGTCACTCTCCACTCCCACCCCTGCCTCCTCAAACTGCCCAGCCCCTGGCAACCACAAATCTACCTTCAATTTCTATGGATTTGCCCATTCTGGACATTTCATAGAAATGGGGAGTTATTTAACATGTGACCTTTTGTGTCTGACTGCCTTCATTCAGCATAATGTTTTCCAGGTTCATCCATGTTGTAGCATGAATCAGGACTTCATTCCTTTTTATGGCTGAATAACATCCCATTGTATGGCTAGATCACATTATGTCCTATTCATTTATCAGGTGATGGACATATGAGTTGTTTCCATCTTTCCGCTATTGTGATTAATGCTACAATAAACATTTGTTTATAAGTTTTTGTTTCAACACCCGTCTTCAGTTTTCTTGGGGATATACCTAGGATGCAGTTGCTGGATCCTGTGATGACTCTATGTTTGCCTTACTGAGGAACCACCAAAATATTTTCCACAGGGGCTGCATCATCTGACATTCTTACCAGTGATGTATGAGCGTTCCTCATGTTTTTGTGTGGTCACCCCCTGACATTTTAATACTGCAGTTATACTACATCTTTGTGTACTCTATCTATATCTGTGCCTTATACATAGAGTTAAGTTTCTTTCCCTCCCCAACAACCATTTTTTATTCCCTTGGGTGCGTCATTGAGAATGAATGTTCCAGGTGAAGTTTGTCACTATCATCACTTCAGTTAATCCTTACAACAGCCTCTGAAGTGGGTCCTATTCTTTTTTTTTTTTTTTAAGATTTTATTTATTTAGGGGCGCTTGGGTGGCTCAGATGGTTAAGCGTCTGCCTTCGGCTCAGGTCATGGTCCCAGGGTCCTGGGATCGAGCCCCGCATCGGGCTCCCTGCTCAGTGGGAAGCCTGCTTCTCTCTCTTCCACTCCCCCTGCTTGTGTTCCCTCTCTCGCTGTGTATCTCTCTGTCAAATAAATAAATAAAATCTTTAAAACAAAACAAAAGATTTTATTTATTTACCTGAGAGAAAGAGAGAGAGCACAAAGGGAGAGGGAGAGGAAGAAGCAGACTCCCCACTGAGCAGGGAGCCCAATGTGGGGCTCGATCCCAGGATTCTCAAATCATGACCTGAGCCGAAGGCAGATGCTTAACCGACGGAGCTGCCCAGGCATGCAAGTGGGTCCTATTCTTATCCCCTTTTATAACTTAAAATCTGAGGCTCTAGGGGACAGGGTAAATGATTTCTTGTGACCTAGTGTCTCACAGCTAGTATGAGGTGATGCAGGAATTCAAACGCCTGAGTCCACATCTTAACCATCAGGTGATCCTGCTAGGGTTCAACCTCTGGTCTCTGGAAGGGGAAACAATATCCTCCTGACCTTTGGAAGGACTGAATTTCACATGTGATGTATGTCAAATGGGCAGGCAGCACCTCTGGCTGTTGATGCATCTTGCTCCTTTCTCCCTAGAGAAGCAATCCCGACTCCTTTGCCAACCAGGGTTTCATCTTCTAGAGCACAGCATTTACTCTTGGTTTGTCATAACCATGGCACCTGGTCCTTGTCCTCTTAGATCATCAGAGCAGGAGGGGCTGTCTGAGATGGGAAGTCCCCTCCTTTAATTACAGGTCAGGAAAGTCAACTGATGGAGAATGACTTGCTCAAGATCATGAAACCCACAAGGCTGAGGTCTCCAGATCCCAGCTGCATCCCACCAAAAGAGTGTGGACAGACTGGGCAGGGTGTGTACTCCAGCCCCCAGCCCTTGCACCTGCAACTGAGGGACTAAAGAGGCTGCCCTCATCTGTCTGCCTATCCCTCCCATATTTACTCATCTTTCCTTACCCTCTTTAGCTAAATTTTCAAGCCCTGCCTCTGTCACATACTAATGGTGTGATCTTCAATGTTCTTATTGGTAAAAAAAAAAAGGACTCACAAGGCTATTGTGAGAAGCAAATGAGACACACATGCCAAGTCTTGAGCTGGGCTCTAGGGACATGGGAACCACATCTGCAAGGTGCTGCCCTGTCTAGGCTCTTATCAAAGGAGGAGGTGCTGTTTTGTTTCTTTGTCCAGTGCATGAGTGAGTGAAGCAGCTTGAGGGCAGTGAGGGTGGCTTCACCAAAATGCTCTCAGTGTTTCCCAGCAAGAAGACCCCTTTCAAAGTTAAAAGGCTCTCCCATGGACACACACTAAACTCTTGAGTGTGACTACTTTAGGAGGTAAAATGAGAAGGTCAGTGGGAAAAATTTTCCTTCTTAACCACATATACTTGAAATCTTTTTTTTAAAAAATTTTTTATTGTTATGTTAATCACCATACATTACATCATTAGTTTTTGATGTAGTGTTCCATGATTCATTGTGTGTGCATAACACCCAGTGCTCCATGCAGAACGTGCCCTCTTTAATACCCATCACCAGGCTAACCCATCCTCCTACCCCCTCCCCTCTAGAACCCTCAGTTTGTTTTTCAGAGTCCATCGTCCCTTCTTTGTCCTTTTCCCTTTCTCTTTATAAACATTTTATTCAAGTACAACATAGGTCCTGAAAAATGAACAAGTTTGCTGCTTAATGAATTTTCTCAAAAGGACCACACCCACCTCACCAGCACCCAGATCCAGAAAGACAACATGACGAGCCCTATTCCACCAGCTCCGTATTGGCCCCCTCCCACTCACACCCCCTCCTCCAAGGCAGGTCACTCTCCTGACTTCTAACAGCAAAAGGGAGTTTTTTGTTTTTTTAAGATTGATTTATTAGAGAGAGAGAATGCATGCACAAGTGGGGAGACAGGCAGAGGGAGAGGGAGAGAGAGGATCTCAAGCTGACTCCCAGCTGAGCGTGGAGCCCCCTCCAAGGCTCCATCTCCCGACCCTGAGATCATGATCTGAGCTGAAATCAAGACACACTTAAGCGACTGGACTAAGCCATCCAGGCGCCTCCAAAGGGTATTTCCATATATATAAATTAACTCCAGCCAGTATGTACTCTGGCATTTGGCCTCTTTTCTCAACATTATGCTTATGAGATTCATAC